TAACCATAATGTGGCTTCCCATACCTCCACCACCTGGCTCCTTCCTGCCATTGGTCACACCCCACCCCTCACTGCCACAGCCACAATGGCTCTCCCTATTTCCTCAGACATTCAGGATCTTTACACATATGGTTCCTTCTCTCTGAAATACTCTTTCACTCTCTTTTTACCTACCCATCGTTTACATATCATCCCAAAGGAGTTTTCCTCCAGGAAGTCTTTCCTTATTCCATACTGGAATAGTTTCCTAGCTATAGACACCCATGGTCCCATGTACTTCCCCTTGAAAGCACTTGTCCCAGAATGTAATATTTCTGTGGGATTATTAGGATGATGTCATGGAGGCATGAAGGCTGGATCTGCATCTGTTTTGCTCACCACTATATTGCTGGTACCTGGCACAGTGCCTTCTACCTAGTGAGTGCCCAAAGAAAGGATGAATGTGATCATGAAGAAGAGTATAAACATTACAACCAAAAGGGCAACCTCAAATTTTTTTAGTTCAATTCTCTTCATGTACAAATAAGAAGCTGGAGAACCAGAGAGGGGAGGTGACTTACCCAAAGTCATAGAGCAGGTTAGTAGTAGAACTGGCCTGGGACCATGGTTTATACCTCCTGTCTCAATGCTATACTGCAGAAACTTCCTCTCTTTGCTTCAAAACTTTGATGTTCTTTTTTTTTTTTTTTTTAAGATTTTATTTATTTATTTGTCAGAGAGAGACAGAGGCAGGGAGAGGGAGAAGCAGGCTCCTTGCTGAACAAGGAGCCCAATGCGGGACTGGATCCCAGGACCCTGGGATCATGACCTGAGCTGAAGGCAGACGCTTAACCAACTGAGCCACCCAGTCGTCCCGAAACTTTGATGTTCTTTGAGACCCAGACCTATAACTGGGATATGATGTATTAAGTAGATGGAGAAACTATCTGCATTAAACATTACAGATTTTCAGGAAAATTCTTTATTTCATTAAAGCTCATAAGGCCTAAGGATTTAGTTGAAGCTCTTTTTCTACAATTGATTTTTAAATGAACTCTAAGGTCTCAACTGAGTACCAGTTAGTTCCCAGGCACAGAGAAGCAGGCCATGGCCCTCGCCTGTGAAGCAAATCCTCAGCCCTCCTTCTTTTTAAATTAGTTCATTAATTTAGCAGTAGATGGAGAGCACCTTTCTAACATCTCTCCTCCCCAAGGAAGGCTTTGTGATGAAGCAGGAGGCAGTGAGATGTCCCCCAAGCACTGCTGTCTCCTGGCTAACAAGGGCATTTCCTGAAATCTGACAGGGGAGTGAACATTTGTTCTGCCTCTGGAAGGATATTTATGCACCTTCAGAAGTGTGACCAGGACACAGCTCAAAAATGTCAGATGTTTCCTCTTCATGAATATGAAGCAGCAGTTTCACCACCTTGTATTACACCCCAGAACCATGTACCTTGTGTACACTTCCAAATGGTGGGCCCTGGAGCCAAAGTAAACTGTTCTTAATGGATGGCTTGGTCCCAGGACCTTAGGCAGCAACAGCAAAACAACCAGGGGTTCTTCACCAGACAGAAGAGGTTCTCCACCAGGCAGGCGAGACCCTTAGGGAAGGAAGGAGCCAGGGTGAAATTACCTTGTAATCAGCCAGTTTGAGTTACCAAGAAAAGTCCGCACCCCTCTCTGGAGTCTTGGTTTTCAGTCTATAAGATGGACCGACTATAATGCCTACCTTCTTTGTTCATTTGCTTTTAAAGTGCCAGGCTCTATACCAGAGGTAGATGATATTGTGGGGAACAAGAAGGGCACAGCCCTAATGGAGTTCACATTTCAGGAAGGGAGACATTAAATACATATTTACCCAATACTTGTTCAATTTCAAGTGTGGTGAGCATCATTGAGAGGATAAAATGAAATATAAATGGTGGTTAACGTGTGTCAGACCTCATGCCATGTTTGCATATAACAGTAACAGCCACGCTGGGGATCTGGTCCAAGATGGCAACGTGGGAAGACCCTGAGCTCACCTCCTCCACAGGGACAAACCATATCCACACCTATTTATGGAGCAATTCCTCCTGAAGTAGAACTGAGGGCTGACTGAATAGCTTCTGTATGACCAAAGCTGAAGAGACCACACAGAGAACAGTTAAGAGACAGGGACAGGGTAATGAAAGGGATTCGCGCCCCTAAAGCTGCCAACTGCAGAAGGGAGGGACCGGATTGAGGGAGCCGCAGTTTAGAAGAGCAACGAGAATAGAAAGGAGCTGGTCCTAGAACGCCGCCGGCTGGCCGGCGAGCCGCCGGAACTCTGGGTCAGAGAGGCTGGCGAGCCGCTGGGTTTACGCCCGCTCCAAGTGACAGGAGCGGGGGTCTGGACGCCAGAGCCCGCCGGCCGCCTCAGCAAGCCCGGTCCCCCCAAGGCGGCCCCAGTCCTCTACACACCCGGACACCTCTGGTTGGCGCTCACTACAGCTCTAGCTGCCGCGACACAGGTACAGAGCAGCCCAGAACACTCTATGCCCACACCACTTGGGCTTCAGGCGCTTGCTACGGCACTGCTCCGGGACCTCGTGGTCCATGCCCTCTTCGGCCCCCAGCCCATCCCCAACCCCCATGAGGGCACCCCCTGTGCAGAATGCCCCAGGAACCCCAGTCCATGCCCGCCTTGGTTCCCTGCATGGAGTGCCTCAGCCAGGACCTCACCTCAGCTCTAGTCACCCCACTAGGGCACCCCCTGCAGTGAGCACTCTGAGACACCCTGGCTTGTTTATTTTTTTTTAATTTTTTTAATTGTTATTTTAATCACCATACATTACGTCATTAGTTTTAGATGTAGTGTTCCATGATTCATTGTTTGTGCATAACACCCAGTGCTCCATGCAGAATGTGCCCTCCTCAATATCCACCACCAGGCTAACCCATCCTCCCACCCCCCTCCCCTCTAGAACCCTCAGTTTGTTTTTCAGAGTCCATCGTCTCTCATGGTTCGTCCCCCCCTCCGATTTCCCCCCCTTCATTCTTCCCCTCCTGCTATCTTCTTCTTCTTCTTTTTTTTTTCATTAACATATATTGCATTATTTGTTTCAGAGGTACAGATCTATGACTCAACAGTCTTTACCAATTCACAGCGGTCATCATAGCACATACCCTCCCCAATGTCTATCACCCAGCCACCCCATCCCTCCCACCCCCCACCACTCCAGCAACCCTCAGTTTGTTTCCTGAGATTAAGAATTCCTCATATCAGTGAGGTCATATGATACATGTCTTTCTCTGACTGACTTATTTCACTCGGCATAACACCCTCCAGTTCCATCCACGTCGTTGCAAATGGCAGATGGCTGCATAATATTCCATTGCATATATATACCACTTCTTCTTTATCCATTCATCTGTCGATGGACATCTTGGCTCTTTCCACAGTTTGGCTATTGTGGACGTTGCTGCTATAAACATCGGGGTGCACATACCCCTTCAGATCCCTACATTTGTACCTTTGGGATAAATACCCAGTAGTGCAATTGCTGGATCATATGGTAGCTCTATTTTCAACTTTTTGAGGAACCTTCATACTGTTTTCCAGAGTGGTTGCACCAGCTTGCATTCCCTTCAACAGTGTAGGAGGGTTCCCCTTTCTTCGCATCCCCGCCAACATCTGTCATTTCCTGACTTGTTAATTTTAGCCATTCTGACTGGTGTGAGGTGAGACACCCTGGCTTGTAAGAGTTGGTGAAGTCATGGAGAAAAAGGAATGCTCATGCACTGTTGGTGAGAACGTAGATTGATGCAACCACTTTGGAAAACAGTGTGGTGGTTCCTCAGAAAATTAAAAAGAGAAATACAATATGATCCAGTAATTCCACTACTGGGTATTTACCCAAAGAAAACAAAAACACTAATTTGAAAAGATATATGCACCCCTATGTTCAGTGCAGTATTTGCAGTAGCCAAGGTATAGAAACAACCTAAGTGTCCATCAGTAGATGAATGGATAATGAAGATGCGGTATGTGTGTGTACATGTACACCCTTGAGAATATTACATAGACGTAAAAAAGAATGAGATCTTGCCATTTGCTACAACATAGATAGACCCAGAGAGTATTATTCTAAGTGAAATAAATCTGGTAGAAAAAGACAAATGCTATATGATTTCACTTATATGTGGAGTCTAAAAAATAAAACAAATGATTAAATAAATAAAAAGCAGAAATGGACCCAGAAATAAAGAGGACAAACTGACGGTTGCCAGAGGAGAGGGGTGGGAGATGGGCAAAATGGGTGAAGGGGAATGGGAGATACAGGCTTCCAGTTATGGAATGAGGAAGTCCTGGGATAAAAGGCAGAGCATAAGGAATATAGTCAATGGTATTATGATAGAATTGTATGCTGACAGATGGTAGCTACACTGTGGTTAGTGTGACATAACATATAAACTTGTTGAATCACTATGTTATATGCCTGAAACTAATGTAACATTGTACGTTGACTATACTTCAATGTAAAAAGTCAAAAAAATAATAATAACCATAATAACAACCCATACGGCATTACTATGGGCCACTTTTTAAAGTGGTTATCATATATGAATCCATTTAATCCTCATTTTAAAATACCTATGTTGTAGAGACTACTGTCATCCCATTTTATAGATGACAAAACTGAGGTACAAAGAGGTTAACTTGATGAGAGAAACAACAGCCAATAAGTGGTAGAGAAAGAACCCAAGCTGTTCGAGCACAGAGTCTATGTAGTATATGCTGCCTCTCATGATATTACTGTCCCAATGTAATCCTTTTAACAACCTGGTAAGTACTATTGTTATTTTCATTTTCCAGATGTGGACACAAAAGCAAAACATGTAAGTGACTTCTCTGAGTTCACACAACTGGGAGAGAGTGGGGCAGGATGCTGGTCCCTCCCATGATGCCCATAATGGCGGTCAGCCCAGCCCTCAGCCCTAGGAAACTGGTATTTCCAGGGCTGAGTCCCTAATATCTTTCCTGTCCCTATTCTTGCTCAGGTGTTCCTGAAGAGTGACCGTGTGGCCCGTATGGTGCAGAGTGGGGGCTGCTCTGCCAATGACTCCAGGGAGGTCTTCAAGAAGCACATCGAGAAGAGGGTGCGCAGCCTGCCTGAGATTGATGGGCTCAGCAAGGAGACTGTGCTGAGCTCCTGGATGGCCAAGTTTGATGCCATCTACCGTGGGGAAGAGGACCCCAGGAAGCAGCAGGCCCGGATGACAGCCAGTGCAGCCTCTGAGCTGATTCTGAGCAAGGAGCAGCTCTATGAGATGTTCCAGAACATTCTGGGGATCAAGAAGTTCGAACATCAGCTCTTATACAATGCATGCCAGGTAAGGTTTCTCTCACCTGGGCCCCGAGCTGTGGCTAAGTAGGGTGACATTATTACTTCTGTGTGCTCGAGGCACTGTTGTCTTCATGGGCCACTTCTTGATTAAAAAAAATAATTAAAATTATATTTTACAATTGCATTGGTAAAAATTTAATATAATCCAGGCCAGAATATGTTTGTGTTTATTTTCTGGTTTTAAAAGAAATGAAAACATTTTTGTACACCCTTAGAAGTCTTGTGGGCCCTAGGCACTGTGTATATCCTGTCTAATAGGTAAGTTGGTTTTATGAATATGGCCTGACTCCCATGTGTTGAAAAAGCTAAAATATCAAAACAATTTTTTAGAAAGATGGTTTTGCCTTTAAAATATATGATGTTTACAAGTTGAGTGGCTTGTACTTCCTCAGCTAGGGCGACAAATGGACTTAGTACCTCATCATCCAGAGTAATTATTTAAAATAGAAAGCTTCCAGAAGGTCTGAGTATATCATACCAGTATATTACTCACATCATGAATTTCCAAGTGGATTTGAGGGGGCTAGCTGAGACTCAGCTTGGGCCCACTCAAAGTGGGCCTATATTTTCTCTGGATCAGGGATTGTAGGAGTGAGGTGCTCTAGATCTTCATTTCCTACCTAACCTTTCCACCAACCTACTTTGCGGTCTTTGCAAATTTTCCTGAGTGTCACTTGGGAGCATTTTTAAAATTCACATTCCCAGGCCCCAAACCTAGAGATTCTGATTCTGCATTTTCAGGACAGGGCTCAGGAATCTGCATTTTAGGCAAGAGCTCCCTTCCTGGTAGTTTTACTGCCCTTCGTTTAAGAACCATTAACGAAACTCAGCTGTGCTCTGATTTCCCTGGGCTAACTCGGCCCCTAAGGTAGGTTAAATTAAGACACTACAGTATATTGGCCGAGATGTGCCTTGCTCGGAATCAGACAGACCGAGGTAAATCTTAATATGACCCTCACTAGCTTTGTGGCCTTGGGGAGTTAGTTATCTTCCTCACACATGAGCTTGGGATGAAATTGTTACAAGGATTCAATGTGTACGAAGCCCAGAGCAACATGGGGCACTTTATAAATGGTAGCAGTTATAATAGTCTACCAGAAGAGGCAAAAAGTCCACAGACAGTGCCATAAATGGTTAACATAAGAACTATAAGATTTTGAGGCTTACTTCTTTCTGCCTTCATGGCTACCCTCTAGTTGAAGGCAGCAACACCTCTTACCTGAATGACCACAGTGTCTACCCAACTGGTGACCCTGCCTCCTCTCTTGCCCCACAGTAACATGCCCACCACACACCAACTAGTGCAAGCTTTTTAAAATATAAATTGGATCAGGCCACCCTCCTGTTTAAGACATTCCAGTAGCACCCCAACATCTTTAGAGTGACATCCCAACTCTTCACTAAGGCTTGAGGCAGTGCATGAACTACTCTTGCTCATAACTGTTTTCCCCGCATGCTCACTCACTGGACTTCTTTCTGTTTCCCCAAAACACCAAAGTGGTTCTGGGCCTTTGCATTTGCTCCTCCCTCAGTTTAGAATGTTTTTTGCCAAGACCTTTGCATTAATGCCACAGCTTAAATGTCAACTTTTCTAAGACGTCTTCCAAGACCACCCCATCGAAAGTTTTTCTTGCCTTACATCTCACAGAGTCAATATCCCATCCCTTGTTCTATTTTTATCATAGTTTTTACCACTGTTTTCCATTCCTTCTTCATCTATCTTTACCTGTTTATTACCTGTCTCATGCTCCACTCCTATCCTTCACCAGAATGTTAGCCTTGTGAAGGTGGTGACTCACCTTTTGCCTTATTTGCTAATATTTCCATAAAACAATGGCATGAAAAATTCTTGGCACATACCGGGTGCTCAGGAATTGCCTATTGAATTAATAAATGGATGATGGCAGTTTATTTTAATTGGTAGATGGGGTCTTGGTATCAACCATGATAGCTCACCTAGAACTTTCTGGATGTTTTAGTAAGTAGGAATCTGTTTATCATCTCATAATGTAATATAGATATTGCATTCAAAAATATTTCTCACATCCTATTTTCTTCTCAGCCAATTTCAATTCAGAACACTGATTGCCAACCAAAAGGTAGATGTTTTCTTTGATGGGTCAAGAAATATTTTGAAATGACCAGATAAATCTCAATATGAAATTAAATTTAATTTTTCTTTTTATTTAAAATACTACTGCATCCCACATGGTGCTTTTAGAATGGGGTGAGCAGGTGGTATTCCCAACCTCAAGAATATGGGTTGTCAAATCACCTGCTTGGGTTATAAATAACTTTCAAAATCACAGAGCTAGTTAAGTGTTCCTAAACCTGTTAGTCACAGAATGATTCCAGAGATTAATTTTTCTTCTTCTTAAAAACAGCAGCATTATTGGAATGAATGCATTGTTACGCCATTTCTCATCTCAGTGTTTTTGAACTTGTTAAATAGGGTTAAGTGGCAGGATTATGTTTTCCCCTGAAAAGAAATTATTTAGACTCATAATCTCAACATGTTTTCCACAAGTTAGAAAAAACATACAGTACTCTTATTGACCTAAATAAAGGGGTAAACTGAGGCAAGCTCAAACTTGTCAAAAAGATGAGCTTATTCGGGAATAGGAGAGGAATTGCAATTCCAGACATGCAAACTATAGCAAGCTACAGGTGAGTCTGTTGAAGGTTTGGTGTAGGCTCTATTTACATTAGTCTCTCAGTCCTTAAGTTTTGTTTTCCTAAGGACACATGCATGAAATTTTCCATTTTATGTGCTCTGGTTCCATTTTAGATTGAAATTCATCACATTTCCTCCTTTTGATCAAGATCTTTTTCAGAAAACACTTCGGATCAATTATGTCATTCAGATGTTGTCTGCTAATTTTTTTAAAAGTGTACTTGGACAGGTAGATTGTATTCTATGTCCCATGGAGCTTAGAGGGTAGTCCTCAGGTGTCTTTTCCCATTAAGCTGAGGAAGACTATCCTCAGGTGTCTTGTCCCATGGAGGAGGGAAATGATAAAGAGTTTCACTTGCCTCATTTGAACAACAAGAGGATTGAAAAATGAGGAATCTCAGCCATGTCCCTCTGAAGTACACAGTTTAGTTTCTACTGTCAGTTGAATCCCAGGAAAAGCCTTTGAAAGGAGAAGAATTTTATTTTGTACATACGTTTGGGAATAAGGCATTTGTTTACTAATACCAAACAGTAGAAATTTAATTAAAAAGATTAAACTGAGGATCAAAAGCCCAATGATAGCTATTGATTAAAATGCACTTTTCAACCAGCTTCCTCCCTTGCCTATATTTAGTAGATCAAAAATGCCCCAAGTTCTAGGAGCTTGGCCAGCTTCTGCTAGCAAATTGATATTGTCCTTCATTATTTTTAGTTCTTGTGTTATTTTCCCTGACTTACTGACATAAAAACGAAGTTCTTCAAGTAGGGCACAGGTTCCTCTGCTGAGCAGTGAGAAGGTTAAGGGCTCTGCAGTTTTTGTAGGACTACTTCAGCAAGGCTGTCTATTTGAGTTTGTTGATATTCAAAAGCTCAGATAGAAGCAATTTAAGTGGTAGACATAACTATAGAAAGATTGTGAATTGCTTTTTCAAGGTCTGCTACTCCAACCCAAGCTAAAAAGGCTCTGGTGAAAGCCTGCCCCAAACCCTTTCTATCTAAGGTAGGGTTATATGTAGGCATCCATCCAAAATCATAACCTTCCCAGTTCTGGCACACCCTTTTAAGTTGATAAAGGACCCCAGATTAGGTATATAAGCAGTGGAGGGAAGAGTTTTTCTAATTTCACTGTCAGATGGGAGGCCAGTGATCCCAAAGCATCTCTTCCAATTAAGGAGAAGTGTAGAGTTCGTGTTTCTTCCACATAAAAAGAAATACCCAATGTCTTCTAAGGCACAGTTGGGTCTCTTTGCCCAGATATTTTTCCCTGGAATAAAAGAGGGGATCTCATGATCAGAAATAAAATCATTGGGGCGCCTGGGTGGCTCAGTTGGTTAAGCGACTGCCTTCAGCTCAGGTCATGATCCTGGAGTCCCGGGATCGAGTCCCACATCGGACTCCCTGCTCGGCAGGGGGTCTGCTTCTCCCTCTGATCTTCTTCCCTCTCGTGCTCTCTGTCTCTCATTCTCTCTCTCTCAAATAAATAAATAAAATCTTTAAAAAAAAAAAGAAATATAATCATTATAATCATAATCTGATCTACTAGCATTGTGGGAATGATTATGTGAGTACCTTAAATTTCTGTAGATCTGAAGTTACAAGAGAGCTGATCTAGTGTAAATAAGATTTTGGTGGAGATATAGAGGATTTCTACTGCAAAAGTAATTTGAATTAAGTTTCCACCATTCCCCAGATTTTTTGTTAATTCCCAACGAAGTACCATTGAGTTGGGAGGACATTAGCTTCCAATTTTCCAGTATTATTAGTTTTCATTGCCCCATCATAAAGATACATTAATGGAGGCAATGATAAAGTCTTCTGGATTCCAGCAGGGAGTGAATTCATGTTCACCTGGATTATATAAAATGGTATAGTTACAAATATTTAGTGGGAATCATCCTATAGTTTTGCCATTCCCATCATTATGTTTTTGAACTATAACAAAGATTTTGGGTAAGAGTCCAGACCTGAGTGAGGGTTATCCCATTATGAATAGGGAGTATCCAAAGGAAAGCCATAATATTTGGTGCCAGTCTTCTGAAAGGGAGGACATGTGTGATTTCCAAGCTATCAAAGGAAAATCCTATATCCTTACCAGATAGGTTTTGCCATCCTTCTAAAGAAGGTGGCCAGGCCAACAAGTCACATTCATCATGAATATTTGCTCATGCACAAATCCAACAATCAATAAATTTAGCAGAGGGGTGCCTGGGTGGCTCAGTCATTAAGCGTCTGCCTTCAGCTCAGGTCATGGTCCCAGGGTCCTGGGATCGAGCCCCACATCAGGCTCCCTGCTCGGCGGGAAGCCTCTTTTC